CGCCTGCAGCTTTCTTGAGGTAATTGGGTCCTCTCCACCAACGGCGGCCATTTGCCGGGGCGCGGAGGCACTTTTGAAAGTCCCTAGTTGCATGGTCCCTCACCCCGATTCACTTTCACTGACGTCTGAAGTTATGGCCCTTCAAGCATGGACTAGCCTTCTGCTGCCTGCAATTCAGCTAGCTATGAGTGCAGCTGCGCTTGAGCCTTCTCGTGAACAAGCAGCGGCATATGCTAGACGAATGGCCAGGCAGGCGCTGCTTTCGCCAGCATTTCGTGCCCTTGGCCACTGCGCTAAAGAGGCAGTCCAGCGCACGCTTACTGCTACGAGTGATGGGGCATGTGAAGCGACGAGCATCTCAGTCGCTCTCATGCCCCTGCTGCAGTGCCTATCTCAGCAGCTGCTTCCAGCAGCTAATGACACCGGGAGTAGCGCACACAGTGTGCCGGAACAAGACGAAGAGGGTGAAGAAGAAGCTCTATGCCGTCTTTCTGAGAAATGCCCGGAGTTATTTGAGGCACTCATTAACTTATATGGGGCGTCCACATCTTACGTGGACATTTACCTTTGCCGAATCCTTATGCTGGATAGCGCAGGCTCAGAGTTGTGTGGCCGCACCACTGAACAGGAGGGACCAGAAGGGCAGCAAGGAGGGCATTCAAATGAGTTACCTACGGAGATGGCAGGGGATTCTGCAGGCAGCTACGACGCCTTCTCTAATTTGCACAGGTGGATGGCACATCTTCCTGACTTTCGGGAAGTCTCAGAAACAAAATTCAGGGAGCAGGTGACGCCTCTTAGCAAGGGGCTTATTCTCGGGAGCCCTTGTGATTGGTTAGCCCTTGACCCGAGGCGCGTTAAGGATACACTGGAGAATTTTGCTTTCCACGCAAGGGTTGGAAGAACCAGGGAGCCTCCTGATACGCGCATGCGAGGGCAGTCGCTTTCTGAAGGAATTTTAGAAGCACAACAGAGATTCCTGGAGTCTGCGCTGAAGGCGCGTTCGATGTTGACCACAGTTAGCGAGCGTGAGGCAGCTGATGGCATGGAGGGTGATGCAGAGGCAGCTAATGGCACGGAGCACCGGCAGGCAGCAGCTTGCATGTCTCATTGCCTGCAAGGCTTAGCGCTGACTGTGGATTCCGGGGCTGCGTCCTTTGCCACTGCGGAAAATAGCGCTTACGACGTTGCTTACGTCGTGCCTTATCTTGCCGGGCGACTGACGACGGCTTGCTTCGTTCTGTTGTGGCGGTGGCAAGTGCTGCTTGAAGAGGAACAGTCTTACCAACAGCAAGCACGAATGCAACGGGAGGAAGAGGGATCCACGGACCCAAGTGTTATCTCCTCACGGGCCGCCCTGGCGCGGCAACGGCCCGTTTGTGCGGCGGAACAGGCACGGAGAGCGTGCGGTGTTGCAGGAGCTTGGCTGCGCTCCCTCAAAGACTCGCAGGGGAACTGCAAGGATGGCGCTGCTACACCATCTCGCCAGGAAACTTCTCAGACGGCAGCAGTACATTCAGCAGAGACAGTTGGTGCGGCGGCCTCTGGGAGTGCGACAGAAAACGTGAGTTCCATAGCAGCAACAAATCCAGAGCCACTAAAACGACGGAGGGAGGATGTTTGGGATATGGATGAATTCGACCCCGACGTGGTGCAGCGAGCAGTCACGCGAGTCAGCACATTTTTGAAGGCTGCTAGGCGTATTGGGCGCTTTTGGCGACCCTTAGATGATGATTCAATTGCAGCAGAAAGAAACAAAGCTGCGGATAGAGAGGTGGCGCAGGCATTAGAAGTTTGGGGTGCTTCTGTAGATGACGGCGATCAGTGGCTCAGCAGCTTTGCCAGTGGAGGGAGCCTGCAGTTGCTAATTATGGCTCTTGGCTGCCCAGTACGTTTCATACGTTTCCTGCTTGAGTAAATCGTTTGGCATTTGCTGCTATGCTCGGCCTCGTGAGGCAAGAGACATTAGTATGGAGGCCTCGCAGGTTTGAAAAGGGGGCGCACAAAGGCGTTATCGGACCGAATGATAGGTCTTCTAGGAAGTGATTCAACTTTTATGTGCGTTTTGGACTTTTTCACAGGATAGAATGACGAGGGAAGCTGCTGCGCACGGCCTTTCCATGTACACGCACCTCCTGCAACTGTCCGCTGACCGATCGCTGCTGTGCCACTTTGCGGACGTCCACGAGTTTAAAATGCAATGCAGAAAACGTCACGCAAATGCTACGTCGCAGACTGCGAAGAGGCGCGACATGAAGCAACGGCACAAGGCCTCCACCTTTGCCTTTCGAGCAGTCAAACAACTGTTGACTCTCCTAGGCTCCCTCATGGCCTCCATTCAATCCCCAGAAGGCCTCGTGGACAAACAATGCGAAGAAGGCAGTGCACTGGAAGCCAGAACAATGCCAGTACGATTTTTGAGCGGGCAAGCATATGCTGCGGCTTTGAGTGGGTGCGACAGGTGGTGCCAAGCTATGCCAAGCTGAAGATGAGTTGCTTCGTTTTGTTGTTTGTGTTCAGGTTGTTTCGCCGGTCGTTTGCGCCTTTGCTGCTGCAGCTGTGCCGCTTCTCTTTCTCCCAGACCTTTCGTTGTATCCCATAATAAATTACGCTGTTTTAAAGCATCCTGCTCTGTCTTTGCTGCTCCACGAGCCTTGTATGCCCCTGACTCTAGCAGCCTTGCGGCAGCCTCTGCTGGGGTCGGACGGGATATTTTCGCGTTTGCTGCTGTCCACCTCAGTCGCAACTTCTGCAGCGCAGAAGCAGTTTCTGCTGGTGGCTTTGAAAAGGGCAATGGCAGTTTCACAATGCCTTGGTGACGGCTGCATCACGCTGAGCTCGAGGCTTAAGGCTCACAAGGCAACCCAAGCAGTCCTTCCCCCACCTGCCCTGCTCGCCCAGTCCACGCTGCCACTGATGTCAGGGCCTACCTCCAACCTCTCTTTGGTTCGTAGCATACTGGACGCTCTTCTGCTGGCAACGGCTGCCCCCTCCTGTCTTTCTGCGTGCACTTGGTGGCATGCGCATGCTGCCTTCATCCTAGTGTCAGCTCAAACGAGGAAAGACGACCTTCATGAGTTCGAAGGGTCCGGCTATTCGCACGTGATGGCAAATGTGCATCTTCCACTCGCAACAGTTAATGCGCAACACCTGCTGCAACGATTTGGTATTATATTGTGGCTCGATGCGCAAATAGAGACAGCTCTTTCATCCCTTGTAGGGAATCGTGAATCCAGTGGAGCGAACAGATCAGCAATAAGCGACTGCGCATGTGGAGGAAGCCACCAGGTGTCCATACTGCCAATAAGAGAGCATTTACTCAGCGAATCGCAACGCGTTAAGGGCTGCTGTAGAGGCAGCAAAACGCAGGCTCTCCCTGTTATCAATGCATCAAAGTGGGTGCAGCATATGAAGGACTGCACGCGTCTTCTCTGGTCACTGATTACTGCTGCCACTTTGGCTGCACCACTGCCTGACTTTACTGCGGCAGAAAGGCGTCTGTGGGATAATGCTCACCGCAGCTCCGGCCTACGCTCAACTGATGGGACGTGTATTCACAGCCACTCGTGTGTCTGCAGCAATCTGCCTGCAAGGTGCTTTGGCTATGATACTTCAGCGACGGCTTCGCAAGCTTCGTCTGAAAACTTTCCAGGGGCTGCAGACTCCGAGCACAATGGAGCATTCTGGCCGCTGGGTACGGGATACGCCGATGCCCAGCTGTTGCAGGCTGTGATGGGAGCACGGCGCCAACTCTTCAAACTGCGTCGATCAGCGAAGACAGAAGTGGGGGAAGATCATGGCAAATGCGATGCAGCAGTCAACGGAGCTTCGGTCTCCAATAGTGCTGATGGTTTGTTTCTCCACTCAGCTTGGCAGCTACAATTAGAGCTCCTACAGGGAATCCAACGCCTTGCACGTGCATGGCTTGCATTCGCAATGCCCATAGGTGCTCGTGCAGAGGCTTCTGACGGCCCCATTGAGGGCAGATTGGGGTTTGCCGACAGCGCGGCATGGGCATCAGACCTGCTAGATGCATCGGTTACTTGTCTATCAGGGCTGTGGGCTGTGGCCGCTTGCAGTGAGTCCCTGGGCTTGATTTCTGAGCCGAGCACTGTCGCCGAGCCAGCAAATCTTTCCCAAAAACAACTGAAACTCCAAGCATCTGCATGCTGTGCAGATGTCCTGAGGCTTTGCGCCCGGGCAGCCGCCCTGCAGGAGGACAGCCTCATGAAACACTGGCAACTACCGAAGCACAGTGGGATGTTCGGTCTTTGCTCCTCCCGCCCACTATGGAATATGGTATTCACCCATATTTGTAACAGAGGTTTAGGGCCGGAGGGTTCAATTCTTCACAGTCAGGGCGACGCTGCGGCAAAAAGCCGCTGCGTGCTTCTTGCGCTGCTTCAAATAAGAAGCATATGTGGATCGGATGCTCACCTGCAGCAGCTCATTGCGGTTGCCGCAGGGCTTTGAAAGGGCAGCTCTGCAATTTTTATGATCTTAGCTGGCAGTACGGCTAAGAGGCAAACCTTAGATGCGGGTATGCAAGCTACGGCATCTACGGCATAAGAATTGTTTGCCGGGTCAAGCAACTTGCGTTTTCACGCTGCGTGTGGCTGATCGAATGTTTCCACAGAAAAAGCTTGTGCAATTTACGGATTATCCTTGACATGAAGAAGAGCAGGCAGTGTAATGCGGAAAGCAGCGCTGAGTGCCGCAGCAGCTTCACGGGTTTTCAAAACCCAAGATGCGCCGCCCGACGTGGAAGAGTCTCCGCAGTCTATGCTCTTAGGTTCAGTCATAAAACAAGCAGTGTAGTGAGGAAGTTTGCCATTCAGTGCGCAGAACCAAAGAAAGATGACAGCAGCATTCATAGTGGGGTTTGCTGCTCTGCAAAGATTTAGCTTTGCTTGCGTAGGCGGTCCACAAGTCTACGTTTACGTGTCAGTTGCTATCGCCACTAAGTGGCAGTGCACTTACCGCTGCCCGCAGTCGAGCGTCTACGGGCCCGTCAAAATTTTGCCCACTCTTTCCTGCATTGACAGTGGCTCCTGCAACAGTTGCAAGACCCCTTGTTCGTCAAAAGCCCATAAAGCCTGCTCTGCCAGGGTTGGACTGTGAGTACAGCTCTCCAGAATGGGTCTTTCTGAATCGCTGACGTCTCCTGCTAATGCTTTGGGAGTTTGGCTGAGAGAGGATGACGCCCTAACTTGATCCTCGGCACTTGCAGCTGTGCTTGGTTTCCTTGCTACAAATGCTGTCAAACCTCTTGGCGTCAGGCTGTAGCCCCAGCGCTTGCGTACTCGATTTTGTAGCGACCGATATACGGATGCGCAGCATCGAGCAGCGAGAGTGGCAAATGGGAAAACGCGAGGAGGGACTGCTTGAATAATAATCTGCAAACACACCATACACCGAAATGAAATGTCTGCTGTAGGGAAGACTTGTATCCGTAAGGTGCGTCAGACTACTTGCCACCTTCCGTGGCGCCGACCATAACTCGTCAAGGAATGTCGAAAAACGGTTGCCGCAGAGTGCATTCATACCAATCTGTAGGTTTCTTGGCGCCACGGAAGCCGGCCGGCTGCGTGTGTTGTATTTGTCCTCGCATTGTCGCAAATGATTTCCGTGACTAGGCCACGTTGTTTCAAAGCATCTACAACGCTACGGTGGAGCTTTTGACGCATCATTTCGTACGCCTCAGACACTTTGTCCCATTGTCTCTGTACCCAGTTTATCTGGTCGGGTCGTGCACCGTGACCACCGCAGCAGACGAGATGATCGAGGGCTGGAGGTAGAACATTCTCTTCAGTCCAGCCAGGCAGAAGCGACACCTGCAGTAACAGCGGAGTCAGTTTCGTGTTCCCACCATGAAAAATGCCTCCACCAAGTGACGTTACCGGCAAAGCTTGGAACTTCGGCGGCGCGGATTGCCGTGAGTAAGCGTTTCCCTCGTCCGTAGGGAAGTCCAGAGGCAAAGACGGAGTGAGTTCGTGTGTATCCCTTAGGCAGCGCACTACCAACAATAGCTGCTGCTGCCACTCGTCAAATTCTGTGGCGTCCATAGCGGCACCAAATGCATCTGCGTGGATAATACAAGCCCTGCTGAGAACCGTTGGGAAGAGCTTTGCAATTCCAGCGACGTCCGGAGTCGGCGGGACCTCAGAAGGCTCGGCGACCTCTGCCACTCGTGCAGGAAGAGACACGCGGCTGTCAGAATCCGGTCCCCTTCTCGTTTCTGAGCTCTGCGCATCAGCAAGAAGTTCACGCAGGGCCTGTGCGCTGTCTACGAAGAAGTTGTCGAACAAAAGAGCCGCGGTGCGTCGGGATACCCCGGGCAGTTGGCTGAGGTCTTGGAGGGCTCCCTCTCGAACAACACTTCTCCTAAGATGACAAAACCGTGGTTATAATACCGCAAGCCTGCCAAATGAATGTTTTAGTTATGCTCACAGGTGCAGTGCAACTAATAAAGCGTGTACATCCTCAATGGTTCAGCTGGCCTACGACTATCAGGAATATTCTTTGTGTTTTCTGTGCTTCCCGCGCCTCGCCCTTCTCCATGAGACAAAGCACTGCTTCGACAAAGACATCTAAAAGCGTTGGCGGCATGAAACCAATTTGAACTCACGACTTTTTGACAAGCCCAGCGACGCCATGAGACAGCACCAAGTGAATTTTCTGGAGCACTGCAGAGCGGAATGCGCCACGCTTGATTATGTTCAATTCTTCGCCACCGAGAATCAGGCCACCTTCCCGAAGCAATAGGAGGACTTCAGCAATATTACAAATCGGAATCCGTGACCCGTGAATAATTTCAAATGCCTTCAACAAGGGCCACGCACACAGAAGCAGCTATAAACCATATTAAACGGGAGCTGTCTTGGTATTACGGAAGAGTTCGGACAGGCGCTGACGATTATCACTTAGATTGCATCCGTTGCTTGTATTATATCGCGTTCAATATTTACATGCCATTCACACTTCACTACATCAGTTGCGCGACTGTCTGCCCATGTGCTCTTCCCGCGGTGACGCACTGTCTTGTACGCTCTTGCTCTGAAAGCGCTACTACCTCTGCGTCCCAAAATATTCTCATCTCCCGCTGTGTAAAGCGGTGCGCTAGCTCTTCTCTCTAAGCTTTGCTTTTGCGCTTCCTCCTCGCGATGCTCTAGATGCCTTTGTCTCCAAAGCATGCTAAGGCTCTGCAGTATTTCCTCATTTCTACGAGCAGAGCACAAACTAAAGCATATAGGAGCAGCATAGCGTAAAGCATATAGGAGCAGCATAGCAACACCAGTATAAAATCGAATTGCACAACGACGGGCATCAATGGAATGTTCCAGTGTCTCCAACGTGCAACCCAACAGCAGCACTGCTTCACGTCACCCGATTGTTATTTCGAGCTTTCATTGGCTTACTTCGCCGTAGGTGACGCTCTGCAAATCACAAAAATAGTAATACACAGGCAGCAAGCAATTATCTGCCACTACATGCAAAAAAGTTGGGGTCCCTGATGGGGGCCAATTTCTCCTGAGGCGGCATCACAACTGCCCTGGTACAGGAGGCCACTTACGTCTCCTTGGCGATTTCCAGAAAGCGTTCATCTAGCCGACTCAGCGCCTCCTTGAAGGCGTGGATATCTCTTGGATACAGCTTCCGCTCATGTGAGGCGAGACTACATTGTGCATCGTCTCCTCGTGGAGACGCATGGGAACCCGAATAGGGACTAAACGGGTGACGGAACGCAAGATAATTTTCAGAGCGACACAAAGGGTAATTGCTGAGCACAGAGGCGCTGCTGAAGGCAGGCGAATTTCCCTCATGAAACCACCCGCCGCTACAGGCATTGCAAACGGCATGCAGCTCGCTTCCTCTAGGTTTAGACCAATTCCACGAACGCTTTGCTTTGCTGCATCCCTCAGTTGCAGTGATCGCAGGAAGCTGCGTTTCTCCCTCTGTACGAAGGAACAAAGTTCCGCCACTAGTATGCTGCTGCAGATGTAGCAGGTCCCACGCTGCTCCTGAGGAACCGTTTGCGGCGCCTCGGTGCTGGGCAGAGCCGCTTGGGGCATCGCTGCACAGCGGCCAAAGCAGGTCAGGCTTTTTTGGAACGTTAGGGAGGTAGTAACTTGGCAGAAATGAAAGCGTCGTGAAGGCGTACAGGCGTAGGGGTCCGTCGTAGGTGGTTGCGAGAGTGCGCAATGTCACCGCGAGGGACTGTGCGCTGAGCCAGCCTATACAGAGGGTGTAATGTGCCCAAAAGAATGTCCGAAGGTGCTTAAAAGCCCCCATACTCCAGAGAAAAACTCAAACATCATCCCTTAGGTAACGATGGGATGCGGCGCTCACCTCACGACGCAGCCGGAAACATACACAGGGCAGCTAACTCCATCACGTCACACTCCCTAGATGACGTGAAGTCCAATTCCCTTAATATTTGACAAGTGTAACACGCATGAGACATTGGCAGGGACCAGCCCACATGAAACCATGGTGCTTCGCTTGGCGCAGCATACTCAGCTGCAAAGTGACCCCAAATAATTAATGTGAAGAAGCGCCTCTGCCGGCAGGCTGTCCAGTATAAAATGGCATCTGCATCTGTAAGAAAGGTTCAAGCCTCGGAGTCGAGGAGACAAACAAATACCGAAGAAAGGGACAGATCTACGTGCTAACTGCAGCACCAGCTTGAAATCGATGTTCCAATGTGTCTGCTCACAATGGGCATTTTGTGTGTAGGATATGGTATCTTCTAAAGTTTACAAAATCTGCCAGTTATGACATATCAAGCACTCTATAATGAGCGAGCTTTTATGCTCTAAGCTGCATGCAGCAGCGAAACAGAGAATGCATGCAATTAAGGCACTGCATTGAATGGGGTATTTGGACCGTCGGAGATCTCGGTATTTTTGTCCAGAGTAAAAACGATGTTCTATAAAGCCTCACTGAGCGAGTTGTATATCGACACATCTCCTCTGTCGACCGCGCGAGAATGCCACTGGCGAGCAGTGTCTTTCCTTGAAATGCTTGGCAAGGCATAGGCCAGTCTATGGGCTAAGCTCTTCTTTTAGCCTTCTGAGATTATGCTGCTATGTTCCGTGATGGCGCCGTTGTAGCATATTCGCTAAAGCTGCAGAGGGCTCAACTGGATTGGGAGCCCACACGATGTTGCCATGGGGAAGTATGCACATTTGGTGTCCCGGCTTGTGAACAACACACAGCTGAAGATAACACAGACAAGCAAAGTGCTCCCTAGACAACTACTAGACGCAGCACTACTGGCTCCGGCTGTTCCCAAGGTAGCTTCCTCTGCCGCATCTCGATTTCAGGCCAAATGGGAAGAGGAAGTTGCGATGACTGCAGAGTCTACTTCAAATAATGATGGATCCAGTTTTTCCTCAAAGCAAAAAGAAGCTTATTTCGTGGCGCCTCAAAACAAAGCCTTATCCACCTGCAAAAGCCCTATCGAAATAGAACGCGCAAAAGCAGAACGCACATGGGAACTCCTCGAAGTGCATGCATTGCTGGCTCTGCCGAGTCTAAGGTAGGCAAGGCACTTGGTAACAGCGGGTCTACATCGCTTCTGGACACAGTGCCTGTCCGAAGCTTATGGTGTTTTAAAGAGTGAGCTGTGTGGGATATCGCGCGGCGTTTCCTGTGGCACTCTGCAGTCCCGCAGGGATCCTTCAATTTCTCTTCTTGGCGCTGCGTGGAAATTTCACCCCAAGGAAATTCCTACTAGAGGCGAGGCACTAAGATCCTTTACTTTCAAAGGAGCACGCATGCGTGCCACAACACTGAGATGGAGAGGTGCTGGCTCTGCAGCAAGTGCTTAAAGTGAAACCCATGGGGCTGCCCACATGTGCTGTGCTGGGCTCAGCTGCGACAATTCCTTCTTGAGGGAGAGCCTGCAGCCCCCCCTGTCGAAGCATTTTGGCTTTTGTGGACGGCAAATGACTTGGCGCTGCTCTGCAAGCTACTAGTTGAGTACGCGAAGTCCCTCGCGCTGTGCTAATGTATCTCTTCTAACAACCACGTCTTCATAATAGAACGACACCGCTGTGCTTTCCACTGTGAACAACAGGCACAGCGTCGAAGATGCGATTTTGTTCGCAAGAGTTGGGTTTCAAATTGTCGCTAATCTGCAGCATTTCGGTCCTGGAGATGTTGCTCTCGTTTTAGCTGCTGCAGCTACGGACTCATCGGTCCAGCTCAGAGATGTTCTGCTGCAGCCACTACATTTGCACCTCTCGCAATTTCCGGTGCTCTCTGGCCGAATGGAATATGCTGAGGCTCCAACAAAGGCCGCAAATATTCCAGATGAAGGGTGCCGATCGCGGCCCAATGAGTGTCTGTTTGAGTCTCTATTAAGGCGCCTAACTACACAGGTAAGCCTGCATGATTTTGCATAGCATTGCTGCGTGGGAGAGAGACGGAGCATTCACATTTTGAATGTAGGCTTCGATTCCCTGTGAAATGCAGTTAAACCAAGCTGATCTAAATGACTGCGTGCGCGCGTTCCTTGCGGCTCTCCGGATTTTCACTGCCACCGTAAGCACGCCTCAATGCAGCAATATGCCCTCTGACGCTTCAAGAAACCCTGCTTCACAGGTGTATATTCGACACCAAGCATCGCTGCTTTCTTGTCTGGCACACGGACCCGGTTTACTTGCTCATTTGATGCCGCTTCCGTGTTTGCAGTCGTATAGTAGCTTTCTCCAAGCAGGCCACAATGGTGCGCAAGACAGCCACCCACGCGCTTCTTCAGTTGTTTTGGACTCTTTGTGCTGCTTAGCGAATCATTTGCACCAAAACGTGTCAAAAGTATCACCCCGCGCAAAGCTGTGGTAGGTCGCAGCTAGAAGAGCACAGCAGCGCCGCAGCCACCGCTCCTGTGGTGTATGGCAACGCTTGGGGTTTGACCCAGTTACGCAGTCTTTTTTTCTGTTGGGCTTGAGCTATGGTGTTGCGCGCAGCATCATCACTGGCTGCGTTAGAGCGTTGCATTTCCTAAGAGAACCCGAAGCCGTGTCGATGGTCACACTGTTAACTGCTGTGGACACCGCGGTCGAAGTGGGGAGAGAGGCACTCGCAAGCCATCGTGGCAGTAGTCCCTCAAACGATAAATTGAAAGGCGGCGGCAAGAACCTGGATGACGTGTACCAATCTAGCAAGGCCGCTATTTTGCGTAGTAGCTTATTTTCTGTTCTTCACTCTAAAACTGTCGCTCGGCGAGATGACAGCGCTGACTGCCTGGGGAAGCTTCATGCGAACCTTGAGGCAGCTGAACTTGAAGTCGCGGTTCGCAGTGCACTTGTTTCCTCCATATCATCGCTGTGCGCGTAAGGTGCCTCAAATTCAGCCTGAATCACAATGAGACTCAGCTTCCGAATGTACAAAATCCTGATTAAGATGAGCAATGCGTCAACTAGCAGAAGTCTAGCGTTTCTGGTTTGAGGAGCGCTGCGTACAGCATACCTGGAGATTTGAAGCCTGCAGAAGCAGTAGTCCTCTTAGACATGCTGTGGCAACTCCGCATGTACCACAGTTTCGCCGTTCCGTTTTCCCGCGTGAACGGTACGCGAGTTTGCTGCTAGCATTTGCTGCATTCTTGTGGCCACACGTGCGCGTAGTGACCCGTTTGGCAACCGAATGCTGTGTTTGGTTTTCAGGTGCCTATTTTCACCTGTTAGCGAACATCCATCAGTTGTCTGCCCGTCAAGTAATAGCGATTGTGGCCTGCTTTGAACAGTGCCACTCCAAGGCCGGTGACGAGCACAGGCACTCTCCCCTTGAAGGAAGATCAGAAAGTAGCCCCACGAGAGCTCCTAGCGAACGGCATTGGAAAGAACTGGTAAGAGCAGAGACCAGACGGCTAGCTAATGGGCGTTTAGAGACTTTCTGAGCACTCCGATGCGCCAGAGTGGCATTGTGGCATAACGGCTTGGGTGACTTGAATTGATTTGGTGCAGGCTAAATTGACACAGCAACGTATTCGTGAGAAGATTGTAGACAGCAGCCTCACTTTAACAGATCAGGTCGGGTGGTGGTCCACAGGGCACTAGAGCCATCCACTTTATTTCGGAAATTTCCGTTGCACACCTTCCGCTCTGGAAGTGGCCAATGCTTTATGTTTATATATGTTATAAGTAAATAGATGTGTGCATGTATGCACTGAGGGCAGTAACGCACCTGTTACGGCAGCTAGCACTAACGGTAGCAGTTAATTACGCCCTTCCAGTTATTCCCGTTTGCATGAATGCATCTGTTTTATCACCGCAGGAGCGTCTGGTGGCGAAGTGCTTGCAAGAGTGTCACACGTTTTAATGCCCTCCACGGGCTATTGCATCCCATCCAGTCTTGTCATCATCTGGCTTACGTCTGGATGAGTGAGCCTGATTCATTATTTGAAGAACATCCGGTAGTAAAACATCTCTAGAATTAACGATGTGGGGCACATTAGGACAGCCAGCCTACTCTGCGTATGAGAAATGCAGGGTTCCTAGTAGGCAGCCGGTAGCAGCGGAAATACGCATTAGGGCAAGCAGCGCACTGCAAAATACATACACCCCTTAGGAGAAGTCTCCTCCTAAGGCAAAGCTTCACCGTGCCATGCTTTGCCATTTTTTATTGCCATATGTCTGCAAAAGGAAACCCGGCTTTCATCGCTTTTCAGTAGACAACGTAAAGCGCATGAGCGAGGGGTGGTGAAAACAGCGGGCACGTGGCGTATGTCGCAAAGCTCGTTTTGGGGTTCGTAGAGGCTATAAAATCAGATATTGGATCTCGGCCCACAGGAAGAGGTGTTATCCAACGTGCCACTGGACACAGCCCCACTTCGATGCTGTAGCACAAAATGGTCCTCAAAAGCGCATGAGGAACAATTTGGTTATTTCGTAACGAATTTCAGTTGACATTTGACTTTTTCTGAGGTCATCCTGCGGACTCATGGACACGCGCGAGGCGGCAGCTGTCGCTACCAGCTGTGCGGTCTGCGACAGTGTCCTGCCAGTTACGTGGATTTTACGGTAGTCACGCGGTCAAGCATCTACACACCTCAACTCTAGTTGTTTTCTTTTAAATGCCATGGGATAGCAAGTGCCTTTCATATTTTTAAAGACAGAGCTCGAGGCCCGCAACCCCACCAACCGGCGCCTCCTTGCATGACGCAGTGTCGCGTGGAGCTCTATCGCGGCATCTGTTTTTTAAGAGCTTGACCAGTGTTAACATTAGCCTAGGAAACTACATCAAAAGGAAAAAAATGTCTTCCGAGCTGCGTTCACGGTGCTATCCTG